GAAGAGGACGAGGAGGGCAGTCCGCGGAACGACTACGAGGGCGAGGACGGCGATGGGGATTTCGACGAGGAGGAGGAGCAGGGCGACGACGAGGAGGGGGAGGATGGGGACGACGGGGTGGGCTTCGATGCGGACGCGCCGGTCTGGCAGGCAATCCAGATTGAGGACGACGAGGTGGCGGAGGTGGCGGACGGGGAGATGGACGGCGGGGCGGGGGAGCATGGGCTCGATGTCGCTGCGCCTGCGCCTGCGCCGCCGGCCGGGGCCGTCGACGCTGTTGACGTCAACGATGATATGGACGGGAACGTGGAGGATGATATGGAGGGCGCGATGGAAGGTGTGTTCATCCATTGGCGTGCTTCACGTTCTTGCTTGCTGATAACCGATTAGCCATAGGCATGCGGGGCCCCGTTTACGGCGTCGTTCAGAATGTGTGCACATTCATACCATTAGATGTTCCGGAGCTGACTTTCTTTTCCTCAGGCTGCACTGATGATTTTCGTGCTCGATACCGCCATTGGCCTGTTGGTATGGATACCTTTTACGCTGGGAAAGTCGACAGCGTTGCTGTCAGTGAGTTGGGTTTATCCGACAGCGGGTCGTCAGGTCTAAACTTATTTTGCAGCTGGACCCCCACCGCTTTATCCAAATTATTCACCTCCCTATCCGTGCGATGCGCGTCGTCACGGACCCCATCGTCGACTCAGTCATGTACATCGTCGCCGCCTTGCTACTTCCGTTGGTAGCGCGGGTCTTATACCGGATCACCAACGTCGTGTTCCTCGGCGTGCTTTTCCTCATCTCCATAGTGTTTGGGCAACATAGGGCGGAGAGGACGTTTGAATTGACGTCTTCGGTGGTACGCATACATCGTTCTTGAAGTCATCATATTCTCATCGGGTTAATTCACAGTACTTCCGGGTGCACAAGCTCTCGGACAAGCCGCTTGAGCAGTTATTGGCATGGACGTCCAGCTCGTCGCCGACGACCCCGCCCCCATCCACGATTTCCCCTTCGTCCGGGTTCCAGCACGCCATCGTGAATGCTGCGGAACCGTACTTCGCCGCGCTCGGGCAGGAAGTGCGCGTTAGCGCTACGCAGATCCAGGCGACGTGGACGCGCCTGGCTTTAGGGCACGGGCCGAAGGAGAAAATCTTTGCTGTCGCCCTCGGCTATGTCGTCGTGATGGTCCTCGTTTCTCTCTATCTCAATCTCCTCACTGTCGGGAATATGAAGACCGCGGGGCGTGCCGTGCGGACTGCGGTGCGGGAGCAATTGCTCGTGTTGAAGGTTCGTACATTGAGCTTGGAATTCAGATGGAGCGCAATTCTGACTAACGAGTAGGTTGCTACCTTCATTTTTATTGAGCTCGTGACGTTCCCGCTTGGGTGCGGGATCGTTCTGGATCTGTGCACGGTCTGGCTATTTCCGGAAGCGAGCCTCCTTTCCCGGGGAGCGTTCTTTAAGCAGGCGCCCCTCACGGCGATGTTCTATCACTGGGTCGCGGGGACGATGTTCATGTAAGCCGGACTGCTGTGCACAACTTGACTCCATGATCTTATAAGCCTTATAGGTACTCGTTTGCTGTGCTGCTTGCGGGATGCAGGACTCTACTGCGCAAGGGGGCGATGTGGTTCATCAAGGATCCGCAGGACCAAAACTCGCACCCCATCCGGGATATCCTGGACCGGCCTACGTTGACACAGCTGCGCAAGATCTGCGTTAGCGCGATAATGTACTCGTTCGTCGTGGCGTGTGTGGTCGGCAGCGTGGCGGGACTCCTGTTCGTCGGGAGCAAGTCGATACTTCCGTTCCGTTGGAAGAACAGGTGAGGGTTCCGCAGGCAAATTCTTGGGCTGTCGGTCTAATGCGCTCTGAACTTTGCAGGGAGCCGCTTTCGAACGTCCCGATCGATCTGATATTCCTGCATCTGGTCCTTCCGTACACGACGCATTACTTCAGACCGCGAACGAGTGTCAAGCGCGTGTCGAAGGCGCTGTGGAAGTTCCTGGCGAGCCGGCTCCGTTTGTCGTCGTACTTCTTCGGAGGGCGGTACCCGCACGAGGAGTACACGTCGAAGCATTGGGGCACCCTGTTTGTCCGGTTGGAGGAGGATTTGGCGGATCCGACAAACGTCAAGGATGGCTCGTTCCGGCGGGTGCCTGCGTCGGACAACATATCGCTTCCGCGGGACATGCGCGCCACCGCCGCCGTCACGGAGCACGGAGAACCCATTGACGATGAGGCGAGAAGACTTATCGCGATGCAGAACGAGGAAGCCCTCAAGGCCAAACGGGCTATCCATGAAGACTACATGGTTGTTTACATTCCTCCGCACTTTCAGTACCGGGTCTTCCTCTTCATCGCCATCCTGTGGGTGCTCGGGGCCCTGTTCCTTGGGGTCACGTTTGCGCTTCCCATTCAGCTCGGTCGCAGCTTCTTTGGGCTCTTCGTTGCGCGCACTGTGCACGACGGGTACTCCTTCATTGCAGGCACCTATCTCCTCTGGGCGTGCTATCTCATTGGCAGGGCCGTCGACCGACTGGACAAACGCCGTCAGCGCCGAGGAGGGGACGAACCGCGTGCGGATCTTCGTCTGCTGGTCGTCAAACGCGGTTTGCTGTGGATCGCCAAGATTAGCTACATGATTCTGTTCCTCGGTATTGTCGTCCCCACTCTGCTCTCGCTGGTCGTCGATCTGTATATCATCCTGCCCATTCGGTTGTCGTTGGATCCGGCTCTGGTTCCGCGCATACGGCTCGTGGATTCTTGGGCGATGGGGCTGCTGTATGCGAAGATTATGTTACACATCAACCGGATGCAGCCTCCCAATCCGATAACGCGGGGGATGCAGCACGTGCGTCGAGCTGCCGCTATGCATTCTTTGTCCTTCTGATTGTTCGTTCTCAGATAACTAACAACGGATGGACACATCCGGAGCCTATCACTGCGACCAAGGAGGTTATTGGGCCGCTGGTATTTGGCCTCCTTGGGATGATACTCCTTCCCGGAGGAGTCTTCCTACTCGCACAACACTTCATCCCGTTTATCCCGAAGAATAGCAGGCTGCTTTGTACGCCGTCCCCACTGGTCCCTTGTAACCGCACGCTCACACATTTTTGATAGTTATGGAAGTCTATCCTGCGATTTTCGTGATTGCTGCGGGCATCCGCTTCGGCGCGGTGTTGCTGGAGATGCTGGGCACTTGGTCGCAGTCGATCCGTGACAAGGAGTTTTTGGTAGAGATGCGGCTGCGCAATCTGGAGCCTGATTCGTCGAAGAGCAAGGTGGACTAGAACATCACATACTTAATTAATTATTCGGAGGAGAAGCAGCACCAAAAAGCATTGTATGATTTGTATACTCCCCAATCTATACATACCGGACTCAGGGCGAATGTCTTCTGATTTTTTGCAGTCCAAAGAGTTTCAACCGGCCATCAAACCCGTTCCAAGACCATTTTTTCGCCTTTCCCATATCGACGTGCTCCACCAGAGTGTCCGTTATCACAAAGCCATTCTTCTCCAGGACTTTGATACTGCCTGGATTCCTTCCGAACGCAGACACTTACGGGATGCCCCACTGCGTTATTATCGTCTTCACTGCCGCAGTCATCACCCCGCGCCCGTGGTGGCTCGGCGCCAGGTAATCTGCTCGCTCGTCAGCATTCACGACTGAGAATCAGCAGAAACGGAAGCCATGCAGCCGACATGCCACACGATATCCGGGTCTCCGACCGCACGGGCGTTATTCACTGCGGCGAGCCGCGCCTTCTCGTCGGCGTCGAGCACCTCGGTCCAGCTTGACCGCACGAGCCCCAGGTCGCCGATGAACACGTCTGTGCGTCCTCGCACACCTCCCGGATGTGGCGTACCTGGGCACCCACTAAACGGGCCACTCGGTGCACTGGAACGCACTTCCTGAAGCACTGCGTCGGTCTCTGCCTTGATCTTCGTGAGCCACTGTTCGGCCTTGTACGCGGTATACGCTGGTCCCGCGCCCATCGGCCCCATCCATATCCCGACAGCTGGATTGTTCAAGATGGCAATGCTGGGTTCGACGTCGCTCATCGGCGGCGGGGTAATGATGATGTTGGTAAACGGCGCAGGGAGACGCACACCCGTTTCGGCGTTGAACTCGAGCGCGTTCATGGTGCGTGTTGGTTTGTAGAGAGAGCGATCTCACACATGGCTTGTTTTCGCCCGTTATTTATGGTCGAAAAACTCTGGCTCGGGCGCTGCTCCCCGTGACAGGAATCAGGGGACCACGCCAGCCAGCCATCTATCCTGGACTGTCCCCATCTCTGACCTCAAGCTATTGGATATCAAGCCGCAAACTCATCAGCGACTTCTACCAGTCGCAAACCATCCGAAACGAGCCCTTTGAACTTAAGTAAGCACCGTTAAGTAGAAATTACGCGAGATGACCGGTCAATTCCCGGATGAGGCACCTGCAAGTTTTTCATCATCCGTTGGAATAGTCGTAATTTGGCGCACTCGCCTGGCAACGGCTTCCTGGCCGCTTTGATAACGTGAACGTCAATTCGCTGGAAGATTGGTTCCGAAAACGTGTTTTTAGCGTTCATTCAGGCTCGCAGGTGAGATAGTCGGGTTGCCGACCCATCTGTTCATTCCATATAATCCACTGACTCCTTCACACTGGCATAAAAAGGACACCGACACCCGGATTCCATGTTTCTTCCTCCAGAAGCCAGCCAAAAAAGCCTGAGTACATAATTTTGCCAATGTTCAAGTGGTGTTGTCTTTCGAACCGTGCGAATTCTTTAGTTGAAGATATTTGGGTACTATAATTTTTGAACCGTGAGAATTTATAGTCTCGCGTTGAAAGAGGTGTCAAAACTCTCTGGAAAATAAGATTTCTCTATGCACCGGGAGTTGGCAGCTTTCAAGGTGCCACCGAAGGTAACTTAGTAAGAGATCTAAGATCAGTTGTTCGAGTCAGCCAGTGGGCAGCCAGTACGCGCTGCAAATGCAAAAAGTTGCCCACTAGCTGACTCGAACAACTGATCTTCTCATGATTACGTAATGAGTCACCTAAGCGACCAATACGAGTGAGACGCCTTACCACTGGGCCAAGCGGGCAATGTTGGAATAACGAGAAATATAGTAAACATGCGAGTCGTCACACTGATGCTCAGCCTCTCGTGGCACCCACTTTCACAGAAACACTGTGTTGAAAACTGGGTGGACCTTCCAACTTTTGGGCAAGATCAGCTCGTAGGAGATCATGCCAACCTTTCGGACTACTGAGAATGGTCCATAGTGTTTGTCTTCCAGTTTCTTGGTAGGACGATGGGTTGTGAGATTCTTTCCCAAAAAAAAGCCCTTGTCCCCCATGGTGTAGTCAGGATCTGTCTGACATCCCCAGTTGTAGTACTGATTCATCACTGCTTGCGTGTGGCACATGGATGCAGCTGCCTCTGCCTATACTTTGGACATTCGCAAGGCGGAGTCCATGGCGGCCTCCATGGGGACTTTCATTTGCGGTTCGGTACCTTTATGCGGGTGAAACCTGAGGATGGCGTAGAACAGGCTGAATCTGGTGGTGGAGTGGACTTTTTTGTTGTAGCTGAACTCAGCTAGGGATAACCACTTGGCCCAGTTGTCTTGGAGTTGGTGAACACACACAGGTACTGTTCCACCTCCTGGTTAACCCGCTCGGTTTGTCCACTGGTCTGTGGGTGGTAGGCGGTGGATGCGTTAGATTTAATCCTGAGAAGTTTGAACGGGTCTCGCATAAAGTTCCCCACAAACTGCGTTCCCTGGTCGCTGATGACTACCTTGGGAATCCCATAGTCTTTCCACATGTAATCACAATAAATATGGGCAATGCCTTTGCTGCTAATGTGCTCTGTACAGGGCAACACACAGATGCCTTTGCCGAGTTGGTCAACCACCACAACAATAGAATTGAACCCATTAGAGGGAGGAAGTTTAGTGATGAGGTTGATGGAAATGTTTTGCCAGATCCATTCCGGTACAGCATTCGGGTGTAAAGGTCCTCTGGGTTTTGTAAGGAATGTCTTGGCGCGTTGACAAGTGGGGCATGCAGCAACATATTTCTTGGTGTCTTGTAGAAGGGCAGGCCAGTAGTAGTTGCAGGATACGAGTTCAGCTGTTCAATACTGCCCGGGATGTCCCAACAAATAGTTGTCATGATGAACCCTCAGGATTTTATGGTGTAGTGGTTGGTCCTCCAGCATGTACATAGTTCTGCCCTTGATCAAGTAGTGGTTGTGTTTTACCCAACCTTCCGGCTCCTCCCCGTCCTCCCATAATCCTGTCACTTCTCCTCCCACTTCCCTTTCTTCCCCTTGATTTCCTCCATAAATTGGTCCCCCAGGGTATCGTTGAGGACAGTGGGCATAGCCTGCAGAAATTCCTCTTTCAATATCCCTTCTCCATCCCCTTGGAACAATGATTTTGGCAGCAGGGTAATCCCAGCATTATCATTTCCCCCCCGTTCATGCCCTTGTCATCTTGACAAGGTGTCTGTCTTCACATGGGTCTTCCCAGGTTTATGGAGTAGACTAAAATTGTATTCACCCAGTTCCAGAGATCAACGTGCTTGCTGCCTGTTCAATTTCTTGGTGGTTATAAAATATTCCAGGTTCTTGTGATTGGCCCAGATTTCGAACAGAATTTTGCTGCCTTGAAGATAATGTCGCCACTTGTAGAGGCACCACATGATTGCCAGCATTTCCTTGTCATGAATGTTGTAATTCTGCTCCATGTCGTTGAGGGATTTCGATAAAAAGGCAATGGGAGCCCAGATCCCGTCTTGTTCCTGCGATAATACTCCCCCCATTGCAAAGTCTGAGGCATCTGCCTCCACCCTCCATTCCCCATGGTCGGTTGGAAAATGGAGTATGGGTTCCAAAGTAACCAGGTCAACAAGTTTCCAAAACACACTGTTTTCCTCAGTCCCCCATCTCCACCGCATATCCTTGCGGGTTAACCATGTAAGGGTTTCGCATTGAAACGGTGCACTTAAGTATGGGCTGAAATGTGCTAAGACTGAGATCTAAGGCATGAACACCAAAAACCAACAACCAACACACAACACACACACACACACACACACAACCAATACGAAGTGCTTATAATTGAGTTCGGGTCACCCTGCAGTATACAGGTAAGATTGAACCTTCTCAAGAAAGATGTCAAGATTGTTTGAGGATGTCTTTTTGGACTTCGAGAGACCAACAGTAGCTTCTGACTACCAAACATAAATTATTCTCGAACACAAGGACATGTAAACCTACCGGCTTACCTAACCACTCATACTTACCCATGCGTCACCCTGTGACACGTTACATTCTCTTCTTGCCTCCTACCTTCATCTTCTTGTACTCGTCTACTTCTTGGTACCCCCAATCAACAATCTTACTGTTCTACGGACCGACTTAGTGTTTCTCGCCTGACGGTGAGTTTCCACTTTTTGAACAGTATCCATCGTCTCGTCGCGAATCAGAGATCCACGATCTCTGATCCCCACATTTTGCCTCCGTTCTGCTTCCGTCGTCTCGCGTCTCCCCACACGGAACGCACATTCATCCCCGCCGCCTCTCCCTAGGCGTGCCTGCCCCCGCTGAGCTAGTAGCTCGCTCATCGTCCGTTTCCAGAGGCCACGTCACTGCACAGCCACATCCGATAAACGATCCTTTCGCCTAAACTGTCTCCCCGAGACCCTTCCACCCTCGTTCCCCTCCTCACCCGAGGCGCAGCTCGCGCAAGGCTGGATCTGGGATCCCCGCTCACACCGTCACTGCGTCCGTCACCGACTCCGTCCCCACCGGCATCGCCACATCACTCGTCCGATTCGTCCTCCAATTACTCCGACCGTTCCACTTCCCCCCCATCACTTCCATGTCGTCTAAATTCGCCTCCGTCACCCGCCAGACCGGCAAGCTACCCACATTTCACCGCGGTGAGGTCACCGCCTTAGCGTGCTCCGAGTTCCAGGATGCTTGCTCGAACTATTTCTCACACAAGGACACCGCTCCTGCGAAACAAGTCAGCGTCGTCCTCGGGTGCTTCGAGGATATGAAGATCAACAACTGGACTCGGCCCGCCGCCACCCGTAAACACCTGATCGCTCTCACCTTCGATGATTTTATGTCTGAATTCCGTATGAAATTTCTAAAACCGGATTGGAAGGAGGCGACTCGCAAGGAGGTTCTCTCCAGCCGCATGAAAGATACCGAGACCTTCGACGAGTGGGCCACCCATGTTTCGTCCCTCTCCGCCCTCCTCTCCGATGATGATGATGTTAACACCGACGGCGTCGCGCTCGACAACAAATGCATCCGCCACATGCTCGAGGCTGGAATGCTCCCCGATCTCTCCTGCCGTTACACAAAGGACCCCATCGCTCCCAAGATCGCCGACAATAAGCTCAACGAATAGCTCCGTGCCGTCGTGGTCATCGACGAGGTCCACCAGTACGAGGATGAGCGCATGGCATTTTTTGTGTCCAACGCGAATGCTGACAAGTCCGCCGCCGACAAAGGCAAATGCAAGGCCGCTGACACCGGCGACGACCGCAGCGGCAAAAAGCCCTTCGCACCCAAGGCAAACGCCAAGCCCACATCGGCGTCATCCTCTTCCTCCGCTACCGCTTCCTCCGCTACCGCTTCCTCCTTCTGCCCTCCCCTCACCGACAACAAATGCGCACTGCTCAAGGAGAACGACGGCTGCAACAAGTGCCGCATTTTCTTCACGGGCCATCGTTCCGACGCCTGCACCAACGGCTACCCGAGTGCCGTCGGATACACAGAGCGCACTGCCACCGACGTAGCTCGCGACAAGAAGGCCTCCAGGGGCAAATTGGTCGCGGTCGTCATGCCGGCGATCAACGACAACTCGGACTCCGACGACGATGAACTTTCTGAGGTGAGTCATCGCGTCGAGCACTTCCACTGGGACTGCCTAGTGGAGGGGCCAATGTCTAATCTTCCCATTGATATCCGTTCGTTGATTGCCAACGGCGCCCACCTAGTCTTGATTGACGAAGACCTCGTTGAGAAGCTTGGCATGCGACATTTCAAACTGTACAAACCTGAACCCATTTCTCTTGCAATCACTCCCGACGACAACACCGACCTTGTCCTTACTGAATACGTTAAGCTTAAATTACTCTCCCGAGACCAGTCTTGGTTGTCCACCCCTGTACGCGCGCTCATCGCACCTAATCTCTGTACCCCGATCATTCTAGGCCTTCCGTGGCTGCTACAAAATAAAATTGTTGTTGATCATGAAGCGCGATCCGTCACAGATAAACACACGGGCTACGACTTGATGAATCCCCCGGCTCCCTTGCCACCGCCCAAGAGGATCGTGAAGCTGCGCGAGAAGGTTAAACGAACCAATGCGGATCGCAAGATGATGGCCTGCGAGCTCCGTGCTGTCTGCGAACGCCGTAGGCTAGATATGGAGTCCAAGAACCTCTTCGAGACTGTCAAACCCGTCGAGGTCATAGCCGCTGTCCGCAAACGTATTGAGATGCTTGCACACTGGGACGAACTAAATAAGAAGGGTGCAAGGATCAGGGAGGAGTATCCCGTGCTCTTTGAGCCTATGCCACATACAGACCTGCTTCCGACCGACGTGCTGTGCGAAATCAAAGTCAAAAATGCGGACCTTAATATCGAGACGCGCTCTTACCAGAGCCCGCGCAAGTACAAGGAGGCCTGGCAAACATTGATCCAGAGCCCCCTAGACGCAGGGCGAATCCATCCCTCTACGTCGCCACACGCGTCTCCCGCATTCCTGATACCTAAGTCGGACAAGTTAGTATTACCTCGATGAGTAAACAACTTCCGCCCGCTGAACGCGATGACCATTTGGGATGCTTTCCCACTTCCACGTGTCGAGGCCATCCTTGCCGACTGTGCTAAGGGCAAGATCTGGTCTACGATTGACTTCACTGATAGTTTTTTCCAAACTCGGATGCACCCAGACTCTATAAAGTACACTGCCGTTAACACACCCCTTGGTCTGTATGAGTGGCTTGTCATGCCACAGAGCTTGAAGAACGCCCCTTCGGTCCAGCAACGGCGTGTCAGCACCGCGCTACGTGA